ACAGACCGTAGCAACTTCGCCAAAAAAAAGAAAAAATTTCCGTTCGAAATATAGAGATAACAAAGACAGCATTTTCTAATAATGATTATGATTAGAAAAGAACTATTATCTTTTGGAGAATTTAAATATTGGGTATTGTGTGATTAGTATTATGAAATCAAAGAAGATATGTAAGTTCCATATTTCAACCCCAAAGGGGGCTGCCCTAACAAGCTTTTCCCGCTAATTTTAGTATATAGGTAAAACTGTTCCACTTCAATTATATTCATGTGACTTAATGCAGTTGATAGTTTACTCCGCTTTGCGTGTGGATGAGGAGTGCTATCGAACTGAATAAACGCTTTGTTTTTATTTATTGCCTAAATGGAATTTACAAAGCGTTCGCATGATAAAGCGTCCTGCTTGTTAACGATTCGGGGATGTACAACCCATGTAGAAAGTTTTGACGTAAAACTAGAATCAAATACACTATTTTTTTGTTAAAAATCAATTAAAACGATTCGATTTAATTCTCACTGAAATTCAATTTTTCGTCTTTAAAAATAGATTTCAATTGATTTTACTGCTTTAAATCGATTCTTAATCGAATAATAAAGTCTTACCAGTTAAAATTTGTTCTTAAAAACTAATTAAGATAGATTAAAATCAAACGAAATCTATTCTTAGAGCTAATAAGTCAAGTTGTAATTGAATTCAAATAGTATCATTTTAATTGACATTTGTTCATAAAGAAATTAATTCCAATCTAATTTATCGAAATTCTATCTTACATGAGTCAGTATAAATTGATATCCTTTCTCAACGCCTGGTATGTGCATCGAAGTCTAATCTAGTGCAATACTTACGTTTTTCTGAGCAGAGAGGTCCGAAAAACAACCAAAGGTTTGAGTTTCTAACTTAAGACTCGATAAAAAATCGTTTTACGGTCATCGTCTTCTAAATCAATCAAAAGTCAAATATTCTCATGTTGATCAAATCATAATAGTCCCATTTAATCGATTTTTAGCTAAAAGGAAGTCGATTAGAATCAGTTTTTTTTCTTACGTCCAAATTTTTCTTGCAAAAATGAAATAAAGTTTGAGCCGGGTGGCCGGACACAATTTTAGGCCTGCCCGGCCCGGAGTAAAAATCTTCTCGGGCCGGGTGGCTCATTTCGAGGCCTAGAAGCTACATTCCTTGGTTTCACAGTATACATAAGGACATTTTGATTTGAATTCGTACTTTTGTAATGTGCTTGTACGAATAATAAAACAGCATTTCACACTATTTTTCACCTATTGAGTGTTCATTCAAGATAATTGATATATACGCACACTTTAGGTATACTATAATCGAAAAACTGAAGACTTTTCAGCTTTTAGTTGTTGAATTTTTCAGGATTAATTTAGTTTTAAGTAAAAGCTTGGTATGACTTTCACTAGATTTTGAAACACAAGTCTCATTAAAAAAGCCAAGTATTTCTTACATCAGTCTAGTGATGGGCCGTAGGAGGTTCGTAAGAAGCGAAATGTTACGAAAGAAAATACGAAGTCACGGAAGAGTAACCGAAGAGTCTAATAAATCGCGGTAGAGATCTATTTTCGCATAGCGTTTGTAATTATCGTTTCATTTACGTGAGTTTTCGCAAACTTTAAAATTTTGAAATTGTTGGGCGGCCCATCATTACATCAGTCGAATACGCCAAAGTTGAATTCTTAGGATGATGAATAAAAATATTGAAAAACATTCTTCAGCTATATTGGCAAGTGCCTCATACACTTGGGCTGTCTTCATCTTCTCGAGCTAGAGAGACAGTGAAGAAAGACAGATTCAAGGTATGCTATTTCAATATTTTACAGAAAAAATAATTGTACAAAACCAAGTTGACCGTAGCCGAAGCTTGTTAATTCATAGCTATAAATTCATATCTTTTTTTCTTTTGTTTGAATACATTTGAATACACTTATTTTATATTCTCAGCAGGGCTTAGTGCGCTCAATTCAACGCAACACAATCAGACTCAACATTTTCAGTCTACTTCACATATTGATAGAGAAAATATACCAATGAGAGAAATAAGACAACAACAAAAGCGATTAACAACAGCTGATACTCGTATTGAAATGATACGTCGATCAAACAACAAAGACGATGTTTAACGTGTTTTGCGCACAATGAAGTCTCGAATATAGACATCTTTTAGCACAAATCCTATTTTTTTCAAAGCTGATTGATCATGATAATATATAAAATAATATATATATACTCGTCTTCAAAAGAAAACATTTCAACGAGTTGTATAGAATGTGCCGATTTACGATTTTCACACTGGTCAGGGTGAATGTGGATGGGGTATGGTTGTGGGTGTGGGGATGGGGGTGGGGGTGGGGATTTGGGTGTCGGTGTGGGTGTGGGGGGTGGGTGTTGTTGTTGTTGATCTAGTACATGGTAACACCCTGACCCAGACCCCACACCTGCACCCACACCCACACCAGGCTTGCCAAACCTCCTGATTTTACCAGGAGACTCCTGATTTTTGGACTTTTCTCCTGATAGAAAATCTCCTGGTTTCAGGAACTGATTTTCAATATTTTCTCCTGATTTCTCCTGATTTTTAGTTTTTTTTCCTACTTGGTTGGTAGCGATACTGTGAACCAATAAGAGAGTTAAAAGAAAAAAAGAGAACTATTGCAGTATTTAATAGTTATAGTAATGAATAAGAAAATACTTGCTTTTATTTCATTTTTCTCTAAAAAAAGCATCAATTACATGACCTAATTGTATACAAAGTACTTCTTGTACTAGAGATAGCAGAAAAGTACATGTTATTGTCTAGAAAACAAGATCTTGAAAATCAGACAAGAGACCAGTAGACAAAATTTTAAATGACAAGACAAGATGTCTCTCATCTGGAAAGAATTTTGCATTTCTTAGAAATCATGTTGGATCTTTTTTTAGCTCAGAATAGGACAATATCTTGAATAACTTAGCAAGAGTCATGCGTTTCATTTTCATTATTGGTATGGAGTTGCTATAGGCTCATTTGCACTGCTATTTTGTTGTCAAAGTTTGATAGGAATTACAAACATGAAAAGAATGAATAGATCTCTAGTACAACAAAAAAAAATAAAGGCATCAATAAAAAAGAAGCAGAAGTAATAGCCATTTCGATAAAATGTTCATTTAATAGATCATGCAAGGCTTAAGAGAAAAACAACTTCATTTGTTAAAAGTTAACTTATCTTGTTTTTATAGCATATTAACGATACAAAACACTCATTACAAAAATGAGCGAAGGAGCATGTGTAAGCGATTCATATAGTGATGTAAGAAACAAAGAATGATTGTTTCTTTTGCAACTCTGGTAAGAGTCTTTCTATCGTTCTATTAATTTAAATAAATACATTTGTTTGAACTTCACAATGAAAAAAAGAATTTTTACTGATAGATCAGAATAAAAAGGAATCTGGAAAGAATGGAGATAAGAATATTAACTGGTCAAGTGTATATAAGGATGTGGGTGAGTGTGGGTGAGTGGGTGAGTGTGGGTGTGTGGGTGTGAGTTGCGGGTGTGGGATAATATAAGAAGAATCCACGCCCACACCCTCACCCCATACCCAAACGCTCCACAGCCACACGCCACATGCCACACCCACACCCCACACTCACACGCCCCGCACCGGCACCCACACCCATACCCACACCCACAGCCACACCTACACTTTGACTATACGAGTGAGACATACATAACGCATTTTTTTAATTGCTCATCTTCTGAGTCAAGATAATAAAAGAATTCTTCGGTGAAATTGTACTGAATCCATCGATGTCGACGACAGCATCACCAACAAAAATGATAGTTAGTGGTATATCGAGGCTACACCGATGCGATTTATCGGCGAGAATAGGAGATCGAAAAGTGCTTGAGTATCACATTTAGCTGTCAAATGTATGTGAGAAATAAAACAGAACCTATGTGAGATATGATGGCATATTGGATGATTAACCTGCCGTATCCGACTGCTAAAAAGTGCATGTAGTAGGATTTTTGCTGTTTTTTTTCTCGATATCTACTGTTCATTCTTGATAATTTCAAGTGGAAATGAAGTTCGCCTGATGATGTTTATCCATCTAAACTAGAAGCCCAGTTACTCGTTTCTTGACATCACTCTGCCTTAATACCTCTTTTTCTTCTTCTCCTCTCTGGCGAGAACAAACATTTTAAAGAAAGATCGATAGCCAAAACGAGGCGATGAAAGGCATCGATTTAATAACATATATCTGTGAACGAAAAAAACAGCTGTGCACCAATTCGGATGTGGATATGAAGAAGATGAAGGTCAATACGCACACCTTCAAGTTCAAATTATATGGCAATGAGTATCCCACATATTTTGACGAATTAAATAGTAATCATTTGTTATATCAAACTCGTTTTAATCTTTGATAAAGTCTGCTTGTCTTAATGTGCACACTGAACATCATGCCTATTGTTTCATATTCGATTATCATACGAAAATTGAATGTCACAATGGTGGACTATATTTTCAAGATTAACGTACTGGTCCTTTTATCAAAACATGTGTTTGCAGTGATTGCTTCTTCCATCTTCAAATGTCCGTTTTATGCGTTTGCATGACCGAAGTTTTTTCTAAACAAACGCTATCAGTAGGGGTGGACCTTTTACGTTAATCTCCTTTAATTTAATCGCAAAAATTAAATTTTTTGTTTGGCTGTTATAAAAATAAGTTGAATATTATTGGACCTCTAATATTGATAAGCGCGATGAGACTGAACGCAATAGCATATTCAATAGTAACACACTTATTTAAACTTGGATCCTCATTTATCTATCTAGGCGTTATGACTTGTAAAAATCGTGGCGTATAACGTTTTACTGTGCTCTGTCCATATCGATTGTTTTTTAGATGATAAATGAACTATGAATTACATTGAAATTATGTAAATTCTCGAAAACAGCAGGACTAAACTACCATTGATCGCTTTCGCGAACTGTTATTTTACTCTTTTTGTTGCATTCCTGAATTTAATCTAGCTGATTCTGCAAACGCCGACCAATCTTTCTCTCCAAGACCATTTCCAATTGCCGTTACAATATGATCGTGAATAACATTGACAAATGGCAATGGTACGCCCACTTCTTCTCCCATTTGCAACATTAAATTTATATCTTTCAATCCGCCACGGAGTGCAACACCACCTGGATTCGTATACTCTCGATTGCGCACTTTTTCACTATATGCCAGGATGCCTGGATGTGTCAAAAGCATGCTAAACAATTGTTTTGTAATATCGGTAGATACTTTCCATCCTTCATTTAATGCATAAATTTGGCCGTACATATCAATTATTGATGCAACACAAAGATTCGCCGAAAGTTTCATTACACAAGCATGAGCAGAATCTTCTCCAACATAAATGAGACCACCACCACAGTAACACTCGATGATGGTAGTAATGCTGTCGATAATGGTTTGAGAGCCGCTCAAAAATGTACGAAGTTTACCGGCAGCTGCAACATCGGGACGACCAAGAACCTAAGAAAAGGCTGTATGACTTAGTTCATATGAGAAAACTTTTCTTCTGAATATCAAGAACGGTTAGACAACGTTTTCTTTTCGTACTACCATTCAGACACCAAATCAAATACATTTAAGGTTCTACTAGACTCCGTTAGTGCATACAGTCAATGTCGCGGTGAGATGACTTTGACCTTTTCGATTGTGACTGATTCTTGTAAGCGCAGGCCGAAATGCTCAGGAGGGACTATAGTTCACTTACAGGTCCAGAAATATAATGTACACCTTTTTCTTGATGCAAATTTGTCAATTGTGTCGCTGCCATTGGACTGATAGTGGTTGTACTAATGTGAACTGAATCTTTTCGAATACCAGCCAAAAGACCATTTTCACCTAATTATGGATAATTAAACTCGGCACATATTTTATCCTTTCTTTCTTTTACCTTGTACTATGTCGAAAACTGATTTATCATCAAACAAGCAACTAATGATAACATCACACTGTTGAGCTGCTTCTCGGGGTGTTGCAACTGAGATGCTACCAGCATCCACCAATGCCTTAGCAAAAAAAGCCAAAATAGAATTAACAAAAAGATAAGCAACATACTTTTGTTTTCGATTGAGTTCGATTCCAAACAACGAGTTTATAACCATTTTTTAACATGTTTTCAGCGATTCCACTACCCATAGCGCCCAGACCCAAAACGGCTACTGTAAAGTTGTGTTTCGAAGCCATTTCTTTCTCAACTGAAAATATGATAACCAACGGTTATGTTTCTATCAACAGTAGAGACAGATAAGGATAATAAAGATCAACATTCATCTTGTCCTTTATTCTTTTTTACCTTTCAACAAAACAAAAGATACAGTATGCATTGATAAGCATTGTATTGACATAGATTTTTATGAGGAACAAAGCAAATATTTGTACAGATTTAAAGGTTTAACTACCGGTTCAATAAAAATGTTCTTACCGTTCTGATTGCGTCTCGACACAAAAAAAAATCGAGTGAATGAAGTGGAGAGAAAACGTTTTATCATTATTCGTACGAAGAAAGAGACAGAATTTGAGCACTGGACCGACTTCGAAACGAATGCAATTGACATTGTACTGACACTCGATCACTTTGATCTGTTTTAATCCAAACTCATGATAGAGAGCACTTTTCAAGAAATTGTTTTTTAATGCACTTGTGCTTCACTCACGCTGTTCATTTTCTCGACGATAAACATTAAGCGAAAAGGTGATTTGGATCGTGCGCTAGGCTATTACGAACGAGCATTAGCTATTGATGAGAAGAACTATCCAGCTGATCATCGATATACAGCTCTGAGAAATGAATGCCATGGTTTGGTGTACAATCGACAACTTATCATCACACAATCGCAATGTGATAGGTTTGACAAAAATCTTGCCAAGATGTTATCAATTATATACAAGAGCTCAACCATTTTTGAACATTTGTAATTATTCGACAGAATTGCCGTGTATTTTGACTAATGTATCGAAGTCACTAGATACCGTCATGAATCGATCGTGCATTCATTTGTCCCAAATGGAGATGAAGTGGAAAATTGCTATGGTGCTTGGGACGAAAAGAATACACTTGAAGATTGTCGGAAACAAATGAGAGAATATGAATTCTGCTGTACGAATACGAGACCACAATTACGCGGGTGTGTGGAATATGCAATTGAGTTTTGTTTCTTGATTAGCCACTTTTGTAGCCGTGCTGATGCAAACGGTGGAAGATCAAAATGAAGGACAGGATATTTCGGGCGATCAGAAATCTATAGCCGGGGTGTGGGTGTGGGTGTGGGTGTAGCTGTGGGTGGCTGTGGCTGTGGATGTCGGCGTGGGTGTGAGTGTGGGTGTGTGGGTGGGTGGGTGTGGCTGTGGATGTGGATGTGGCTGTGGATGTCGGTGTGGGTGTGAGTGTGGGTGGGTGTGGGTTTTCTTTCCACTCACACCCACACCTACACCTCCACTATTAAATTAGGCTTTTTTTCTATCTATTTCAAGTCAAATTAAGTCAAATTATGAAATCATGTGTTTTAAAACGAATGATTGATTCTTATCTAATAAAATCTTTCTTTTGCATAGGAGACCAGTCATTTTAGAATAATTCTTTTTATTTATTGTCAACTTGACGATCGATTCGAATATCTTGGCGAAGAAAACAACAATATAAGTAAATGTGAAAGCTTTTGAATATTCTATCGAAAAAAAAACCAATCAAGCGTAGAAATCCTAATTTGACAAAGATTTAGAAAATTAATTTGTAATAAAAAGTATCGTCATTGAAGTATAGGGTGGACGTGGGTGTGAACTTGACTGTTCTCTTCACTCACACGCCACACGCTATTCAATACCTCTCCAACTTTGAATGTGGAAAAGATAAAATAAAAATAAAAATGGGGTTGTTACTTCTAAATGATACACCCTTTATACAACAAAAGCAAAGCAACTGGTCAATATTCACTTGGTTTTCAAATATCTTCAGACAAAGAAATTGACTTTTTATTCATCTTACAATAATATTTGACATATCTGTAACTTCAATGGATTATTCATATTAAGTGAATTACACAAAAAACGACTATTTCTAATAACGTATATATCTCATGATTTTAAATCAATATGCAATTATGCATAATTAATATTTATTGATGTAGATGTTTGTCACAATGATTCATTATGTTGAAAGTAATATATATTTAACACATACAATTTCACTTGTTAATGAATAGATTGGTAAACTTACGATGAGTCTGTAAGTTTCACAAGACAGCTTTATGTTTAAAAACTTAATATAAGAAAAACAAGTTAAAATATTTTCTTGATTTGTGAGTTATTTATTATTTAGTCATTTAATATTCATAAATTGAAATGTCTAAGACTTCAAGTGACACCAATCGTTAATGAATTGATTGAGTCGATAAGGCTAGCAATCAACATTAATATATTTGTGTGTATATTATAAGAAAAAAAAAATATCGAAATAGAATCATTGCTTATTATTCTATTTCACAAAAACACTACGCACCCTAAAAGGAGGAAAAACGCACTCTGAATTATAAAAAAAAGACAAAAACAAGAAGTTAATGATAAGAAAAACAAATGACAAAAATGTTTAAACATTTGACACTTGGTGATATTTTTGGTTTGGTGATATATTTTTGACTTCTATTTCTTTAGTTGTTGTTAATCGTTTATTTTTCTTAAGGTTTTTTTTAATAATGAAGAACAGAAGAACAAGAATAATAGCAATGATACACAGGACAATTAAACCGATAAATAATATATTGTTCCAATAACATGAACCTTAAATCATTAAAACAAACACATTAATAAAAGTAGTTATTTCTTTTTTTTTAATCTTTCTATGAAATAGAAACAAACCTTCAGATGAAAATGTGTCTGCCTTAGATTGAGAACTACTGAACGACGGATGTTCATCAATATGGAGTTTGACAAGTACAGTGTCAGGATCAGAGGACATTCTTAAGAAAAATATAGAGGAAAATAGATCGTAGATACAATAAATTTCTTATAATCGATCTATATTGTGTTTCAATTTATCAATAAAAGCAATACAAGAACAACATAGAAAAATAGGCACTCACTATAGTTTCGATAACAATCTAATAGCGACATAATTACGCATAGTTTCGCGTAATTACGATTTTCTTTTCATAACTAAACGTAATTACGTTGTAGTTGCTAAAAAAGACACCACATGGTCCTTTTGCCTATCTTGTGGATTTCGCGTTTATTTTCTCTTTCTATTCATTCTATGTTGTTTTTCCTTCACAACATATTTTCAAATTATAAGTTTGACGATCTGCCATAACATAGAAGCCGATATGACACCAATAACGGTGACTCAACAAAAATTCTATTGCGTTCTGCATTATTCGTGCCATTTTTCAAGGATTTCCATATTTCAAAACAAGAGAAATTTATAAAAACGATGAGCTGTCGATAAAAACCGAGCTCATGAAAGAAGTATATAGTTGTAAAAAATTTGTTGTTTTTACTCTTGTTACCATTATTTAGGTATGAATTTATCCTCATTTATTATTTTAATCAACAATTTTCTTTTGCTTATTTACATGGTATATTTGGTTAATAAACTTACCCCACCATCGTTTTCTAGCAGCAATATCAGAAACATCACCCTTCAGTTGTTGATATATTTCTTGAGTAATTGCTGCTGAATAATCATTGATTGAAGTAATTAATGGTGTTGCTGATAGTGGTATACTATTTGCATAAATATCTGTCATAGCTGCATCGACTGAATTAGTTGATACTGTTCCACTTTCAGATAGGTCATTAATAATTAAGTTAACAGTGTAAGAAGGAAGAATTTCATCATCGGAATAATCCTCTACAAGAGCATTTGTTTCTCATTTTCAACTCCTGATAATGTTGATATTATAATATCATTTATATCATAATCAAGTTCTTCGACTTCTTGATCGTCAGTCATAGAAATTGGCTGACGACAGCAAGTAGACATCACTGAAAACAGATCTAAAAAGAAATGAAAAGAAAAGAAAAGAAAAACTGCGGATGTAACATAGTGTTCTTCTGCATATCAATGGGAAGTACGAGCCGAAGAAAAAAGAGTTATCTCAAGACGACAAATAGAATGTAAACAATTAAGAATAGATCAATGCTATGCTAAATATGTTAGTTCGCAGCAGATCTTCGAAGTATATTTTTAAAAAATCTTGTTGTTGCAGTCCCTGTGGAGCTGAAATGTAGAAGTTACATTTTCCATATGAACTAGCAGATAATTTACTGTAGTTTTATTTTTCAATGTACTAAAATATACTGTGAAGTTTGGAACAAATGAAGTGAAACAATGAGAAGTTTGTTTGCTTTATTAAAAGTGATCAACATTACTGACAAAAATATGAAATTTCTTTGTTTATATCGTTTGCGATATGATTAAATTGTTATAATTTTTTTTATGTATACAACTAAACACAACGTTGATTAGTTTATGACAGAGAATTTTTTTTTCTTTTTTATCAAGTAATCATACTATTGTTTTTGTGATATGACAAAGACGAATAATATATGACAACGGTTAAAATGGATGAACTTACGATTCCAATGATATTTCTCTGGAATTCAGACAGTTACAAATAAATGTTGAACTGCGAATTGTCAAAAGAAAAAAAATCGTCACAATGAGATATATTGAAAGAAGAAAAAATTATTATATAAACGTATCAGCTAATAGGTATAAAATATTTAAAAAGTTTGTAAAAGAATTTAATAAGATGTAGGTGCTTAATTTATTATTGCACCTCTGTCAAAAGGAGAAAATGAAGAACTACTAGATTGTATACACATATAATTTTTTAATGACAGGTTATTTTGTTATTGCTACATTAATGTATGAATTATGTTGAGTAATATAGATATAGAGTTATTATACACTAAAATTGGTATGGATGTAAATGTTGATTATATGTTTATTCCCAAGAGGATGTGGGTGTGGGCGAGGCGAACACTAATACTCTGCAGCTTTTATTCGGAACTGATGCTTTCATCACTGGATGCTCTTATTTGATCGACAAGACTCGCTGCTATTTTAAATTGTTTTTCATGTTAAAGCAAACTACAATCGTCGATTTTTTAGCAATCGTAGCGTTTTTTAAGTTGTGTAACAACATGATAGCGAAACTATGCATTGTGAAACATTGAATCGATCTAAAAATAAGTCAGTATCATAATATTTGCTTTCTCTAGATGATTTATTCTTGAGGAAATCAATGAATCTATTCATGAAAATTCTACCAAGTTCACTTGATCTTTTTAGCCATTTTTGCTTGTTGAAAACATCAGTCTGTAGTAAAAATGTTGGTTTCAATTTGAAGAACCATTGAGTTGTGATGAAAGAAGAGAAAATATCGTTCATCGCCTTTATATTTTGCACAAAGACTAATTTCTGAACTTTGTGGGATACTCAATATGTTATCTAGAGATATGAATAATTTTTTTTTAGATTGTCTCTGATTAATTCTTTGTTTGCTTCTTCAAATCGAAAATACAATACGATTTTCGTTGTTTTATCTTTCTGCTGGTGAAGATAAGTCGAAAAGTTGACTAGTCATATCGTAGGGTTGAGAAGGCTATGAGGCTGGATCACATCTTTAGTCATAATCACACCCACAAACCCGTATCCATGATATGTGGATCTAAGGACTGACTCTGCAGATCTTGATATTGAATTGACACCCATGGAGTAAAATATTCAAGGAAACGGACTGCGTAACGTGTTTCTGAGATTGCAGCATGCGTTTCGCAACGTTTTTTCAATATAGAACGCGTTTCACAGCATTCTTACTTCGATAGAATGCGTTTTGCTGCTGTCGTTTTTTGAAATGATCTGAAACGCGTTTTTCGAAGATTGCGTTTCGAAGCGTTTCCGAAGTAAAATAATGTCGAACGCATTTCGGTCGATAGGTAACGCGTTCCAGAGACACAGATTCGGAGAAATATGAAACGCGTTTCCTTTTCAAAGGCATTTTGCATCGTTTTTGTTTGAAATGATGCAAAATATATCCGTTTTGCATACAGAATCTTGCAGGAATTTATCTGTACAAAACGTACGAGTTAAGCAAAGTTAATTCTGGCACTATGTTAGAAATTATAGGAAATGGGATTTGAACATTTTGTTCCTTGCACTGTTTCTCAACATGAAAATCATGACCGAAACTTTCCAAACGCAAGATTAAAATCGAATTCTTCTAAATGTTTAGGCTGCTAGACTGTTATATAAGTCTGATTGGTAGTTAGACTAATATTGAATATTAAAGTGTACGAAAAATATTTTTTTTCTTCCTTGAAAACTCATTTCACTAGGTTTTTATTGAAAGAAAACGTGTTTCGTAACGTTCAACCAAGCATTGTTTTAAATATTGAACAATTCGAAAAGATTTAATAAAGACTGATGCTAGTATAATGTGTACGACAACTTTGTTTGTTTATTTGTGAACAAAAGAATCTCGAGTTATTTATAATTTGAATAATTATTGATATGAATTCATATTTGGACTACTTGATAGTGACTGATGATACTGTGTACAATACTATTAAATATGATTTTAGTTCTTACTTTGTTAATGTCAGCGTGACTTATTAATAAAAAGAATATTCGATTTACAAAAGAATATTCTTTGCATTTAGTGATACTTTTGGATAAAAGGATGACGAATTTACTTATACAAAAATCTATTAAATAAAGAAAACAATTCAAAAAATTTGTTTTTAAATTTCTTAAAATTTATATCTAAGAGATTCAACTTGTTTAAATATTAAATACAATTTAAATTAATTACAATCGTTTCAATTGGGTATTTAAATTTAAACTTGAACAAGTTCAAATAAAAAATATACCAGGAGTAGATCAAACTCGTTATTGGGTATAGGCACCAAGGAAATGATAATGTTTAATTTAATGGAATGGAATACTGAAAATCTAATTTAGTAAATTTACGCAAGACTCTTAAAGACTATGGAATAAGCACTTATATCATTAGATTATTTTAGTTGAACGGTTCGCACACATGTCTTCTACTCTTATGTTCACGTGTTCGAATCTATGTGTTGGCTTTATCAAAATTGATCTAAGTTATAGCTCTAAAGGTGTATGAAAAATGTAAGCGAGTAAAATAATTGTATCTGCAGCTCAAGGTGCATGAAGTACTTGACGGTTTTCATTTTTTTCCATCTAGAATATACGACACCACAGTTAGAGAAACGCTACGAAACGTTTTTAGAAAAACGATCGTTTCACAGCGTTCGTATTAGCAGATGTGAAATGCGTTAAACCGATCAGCATTAACGCGTTTCGCAACTATGGAAAAATGCGTTTTGAGAACGCGTTTTTTTCGCAAAAATTTACGCCATGGGCAGACACTAGGTCGCTTGATGGTCTCATTTTCATTGAAACAACTGACGAATAGATGAACAGGTATTGGAACACCTTACTCAAAGAATGTGATAGTCTTATGTGATCGACAAAATCATCTTGTTACATTTTCCATCGGTTAACAAGAAAGAAAAAGGGTACCGATTTTGTGAAGAGGCGTATGGGTTGATCATATCTCTGCTAACACCCACACGCACAGCCTTTTTGGCAGGCTTTCTCAGAAGAAAGGGATTGAATGTTGCTCAAACCTTTTTTTTTCAGACACTAACAAGCTAAAGACTGTTTGAAGATGCAAGCAAAAGTTTCGGATATGTGATTGAACAGAATTGGTGGTGGTTCATGTGAACCGACTATTATAAAGTTAAATCATGTAAACATTCTTGAGGGTGTGAATGTGGGTGGGCGTGGCTGTGGATGTGTGTTTTACTCCTCTATTTAACGACACCCATACCCACACCTAAAACTGAGTATAATAGATATGTTTTCATTTTCCAGCTCACCGATGATAGATGATTTTAGTAAGACGATACTTTGCTAGAAAATGCCGGTGATCATCAAGAGTTTGTTAAAAAGCTAGTGTAAAAGAGGAAAAATTATGTCTCTTCTTTGATCATTTTGAACAACAAAATAAATTCGACAAAATAAGAGGTTTTTCAAACCCTCTAATATATCAAATAAATGCACTGGATGATAGCGAAACAAAAGAATGAATTTTATTAGCTTTTTTTTGCATAAAAATAATTAAAATATTTCGAAATTTCAGATTTTTATTTTGTGTCATCTTGTGGTACATTATTTAACATGTAAAAGAATTCGAAAATCTCTTATTTGGGTTGAATTTATTCTGCTGTTTAAAATGATCAAAGAAAAGACATATTTTTTCTTCTTTTATAGTAGCTTTTTAACAAACTCTTAATGATCACCGGCATTTTCTAGCAAAATATCGTCTTACAGAAAACATTTATCGTTTATGAGCTCGAAAATGAAAGCATATCTATTATACTTAGTTTTTTATGAACTTCACAATGGCACTGTTTGCAAGCAAAGAAAAGTTAATCGGTGAATAGAACCAAAAATGTTTCAGACGTTTTTTCCGCTGAAGATTTTATGTTTGATAACATTTTGCTAGTGTCAAAGGACAATAATTCCTTTGCTCAATGTAGTATGAAACCTTGATCAATAACAATGCTCAGTATATGCTAAAAGTCAAAGTTAACTTGAACACAAAGTATTGAAGAACTGTTTTTCAAGTGTTCCAGAACGTTTTATGAAGGTTGTATATCCGAAATTTCATGCACTTCGGTTTTTTTCTTGAATGATCAAAATAAGAAAACAAATGCAAATATTTTAGTGCAGTGTATTCTTTTACTAGATGTAATTTATGTGTAATCAAGTGCGCAAGTTCGAAAGCGTACTTATGCATGATTCTTGATTGATTTATGTTTTAACCACCTATTAAAGTAGTTTCTCTACATCGTCAAATTAGTCACGACTATTGACAGTTTACTTTTGCTTCTATTGAATATTATTATCAAAGTGAAAAAATAAAAGGAAAAGCAGAACAGAATTTAAATATTTTTTTCTCGACAGAAGAAAACTAGGAACGCAATACACTACATAGTGTGTGACAGATCTCCTTGTACTCATCTGCCACTTGTGTGTAACGCAGATGCTGAGGTTAAAGTTTTAAACACATTGCGAAGTCTCACTGTTTGTTGTTCCGCGTGATCTCTTTGTATTACGTGTGTGAAAAATGGTAGATAATTGGAATCCATTTTTATTTTACAAAACCCTTGACTAAGAAATATGAATGAAACAAACGTTGAAACTTTAAAATAAAACAATGTTTTCTTGATTAAATAAATGAGTCGAATAAACTGAATGGAGTTCCTAGAAATTACAACGTGTACCATCGAACAGTGGATTTCTATTAACTGTATGACCATCAGCCGCATCTAAATAAACATCAACATATAAATTATCAACCCGTTCTTCACAATATCTTAAAAAACTGCAGTTTTCTCTTTTCATGGGATTTGGTCCAATCCAGAGATCAACAAGACGACGAGGATCCCTTTTGCATGCACCACATATATCTCGAACAATACAGTATTTCTGCACATGTGAAATATAAATTTTAGTACCAGCCGGAATACGAGATTGATCGGTTGCACATGTACTCGGATTGCTGAAAGTACCATCGCCTGATGTAGCTTGATGACCAGAACTCGTGTCTCCCCTATACGGCGGATCATTATCACACCAACCATAAGCTGTGACACGACCTTTTACTACGGATTCACATGATATGCGACCAACTATCAAAGTAAATAAAAGTGCGAATAGCAAGCACTTGTTGACCATTCTACAAAAGGATGCATATGTGGCTTCAAAGAGAACAACACAAGTTTATACATACACTCTAGATACTTTAGCTAACAGCACTGTGATTTAAAATATAACGAACACGGTGAATTTTGTATGAAGAGAAAGACTACCGTTTATATACTGTATTGCGTTCCTAGTGTTCTCTTGTCGAGAAAAAATATTGAAATTCAGTTCCGCGTTTCTCTTTATTTTCGTTTCGATGCAAACACGCACACAGTATATTTTTCTTTTGCGTTCTACCACGTGTTGCTAGAGCCCGAGTCTTAACAATACGTGGAAGAGGGTAAAAGAAAAATATCCTGCCCATGTGCCTGCTTCGATGATTATATTCCATACATTGGATAAAAAAGGAACCATACTGAACCATTTGGGTATGGGTGTGTGGATGTGGGGTGGGGGTGTTGGTGTGGCTGAGGGTGTGGGGGTGTGACTGAGGGTGTGGGTGTGAGTGTGGATGTGACCGAGGGTGGGGGTGTGACTGAGGGTGTGGAGGCTGGTATAAGTGCGAGTCTTCTCTTTATCCACACCCACACCCACACTACACCCACACTCCACACCACACCCCACCCACACCCACACTCACCCACACCCCCACACCCACACCCCCACACACCCACATCCACCACACCCACACCCACACACCCACACCCACACACCCACACCCACACACACCCACATCCACCACACCCATACCCTTTTTTTAGTTATTATGATATATAATTCTGTTAATTACAATGTTTTTGCCCCTATATCAATGGTTTTTCTATTAACCACAGCGTTCACTATTTTTTCAGCTATATTAATATTAGTTTCATTGATAAGACAATAACATGGAGTGACACATCTGCTAATTAGACACATACGTATTTCATCAATGTAATAATTCGGTATAGGTTATTCATAACATAGATATCAATAAAATATTGTGCCGATGGCGTGAATACTTCGAGTACATGACAATTGTAGTTGTTACCTATTCATATCTATAAGTAGCTATATCCCAATGAATTTTTGCTGTATTTTCTAATAAATATCGATGACTAACTTCATTAAAATACATCGAAACATGATGTTTATTAAATGGATTGTAGATGTAGTTGCTCCGATAGCGATACGTATGAAAAAAGACATTTAGTTTTGTGAAAGTTTTCTTTGTTGGCTACCAAAAGTATGTATGCTACACATCTGTTATACTATATTTTTTTAGTATCTGATATCTATTAGAATAAATGTTGGCATTTATATTTGAGTATACAGGATATCCCAAAACTATAGGTACCCTTTTATTTCTGAATTCTATTTTTAACAAGAATGGATAGGTAGATTAAATTCCAATAGTGATTTGGATAGCCCTTGAAGTTCTCTATCGAATATATACTGGACTTAAATTTTCACAGAAACTTTGTGAAGAGAGTTTGCTAGACAACCGTTCCACTAAAATTTCAGTTCTTAGAGAACTGTGAGAAAAATATTTCTTAATATAGTCATTTGAAAGAGCGAAAAAATTCTTGCGAAAATGAGGGGTCGCCAAGCTCTTCACGACGTTTCTTTGCAAAGTTATAAGCAGAAGAAAAACTAATTAAATATGTTTTTAGTCGACTCTTAGGAATTTTTTGATAAATTATGGAATTTGTTGAGTTTTTTTTTTGATTCTTATAACTTGGCAGCAAATCATCATTTGAATCTGACCTAGCTATTTGTCTTTATTGAAAAATTTCAAAAATAAAAGGATATATGTTATTTTGAGATACCCTGTATATTCGGATTCATCCTTATAGAAATAATACAGGGTGAGCCATAAATAACATGGCAATAAGAACTTTAGATATCTCCGTCAGCTGTCGACCAAATGAGTTGAAAGTTTTACCAGTAACAGAGATGGTTTAAATTTTTTTTCATATTAGGAAAATCAACAAATACTGCCCATAGTTCGTAAGATTAGCACCAATAAAGATTTGTCACTTGTATTACGGATTCAAAACAAATGTTAGAGGTTGATTTCAAGATAATTTAATGAGTATGTTTCGGTTAGTTATGACCTTGTTATAGTGTGATGTATTCCTATATAGATTTTTCCTTTCCTTTCTTATCTTTCTCTCATAGTACGTACATGATGCGTACCATATACCTCAGTATTTTCCAAACCTTCTCTTTTTGCGAGATGTTTCTTGCGTTTCGTTTTTTCCTATTGCATTTCGGATTTTTCCTTGTTTCAATCCTATTTATGATGGGTGTTTGAAAAATATATTCATGCATTCATTCGGTAACAGATCTCTTACGTACGAACAATAAGACCCCATTGTAGCTGAAATATATATATATTCTTAAAGTTGGGATTCAACATCAAACATGGCACAACGTTAATTGAGTGTGAACGAGAAAACATGGATTGTCAAACACATTTATCATCTTGAATATCCAATCAATGTGCAAGGATTATGGTATAAGGAATTAAATAACAATCCTCCACATCGACATACGATAAGATTACTGATGAACAAATTTGAACAGACCATGTGTGAGTGTGGGTGTGGATGTGAATAAACATATGTGCCAGACTCACACCCACACCTACCCTCATTCCTAAAAGTACTATTTTGCAATGTAGGAGACATTTTTCAGCAAACGATTTTCAAAGCACACTTAAGACCGATTCTTCTAATTAACGCAATCAAAATTACTATATTTCTAGAGCATACGATAATGAAAAAAAATTCGAAAGGTTAAAGACGATTCGGCAAATTCGAGAAAAATCTCTGTGGACCTACATATAACAATCTCTGATGCGAAAATAGCATGTTATTTTTTATCGATGGATATTTTTTTGTAGTGACGCACATTATTTCTTTCTTCGTTTATTACAGTTTGAAATGGTAAGATAATGAGATAATTGATCATTGAAGCTGTCAAGAAAAAAGCATATTGTATCGATCAAACGCATAATAGCAATACCTTTTTGATAAAGGATAATAAAGAAAAAAGATGCGATGATGCAGCACATTTTTTTTCATGTGCATATGTATAGATGATATCAAAGGACAAAAGAATACTGAACTATTATATTATCATCGATTGTTGATAATAGAACGCGTAACCATTTGTGAAGCTTTTGGGCATGGAATACAATTGATCTTCAAAAAGCAAGTATGTTTAGACATAATAGTAACACTCTAAAACTGAAAAAGATTAAATAGAATATTTGTTTCCATTTTCGCATTGCTGTAGGTTTTCTCTCAATATCAGACGAACAGATGACTATTAAATAAGTGCAAAATAAAACAAAATAATACACAAATAAAAAGAATATGTTTATAAAAATATAGTTAACTTTTTTACTCATACAATGATCTACAAGGTCATATACAATCATATAATAGAGAAAAAAAGAAAAATAAACAATTGAACAAGGATAATATTATTGTTCTTGAGAGAGTTTAGGTTGTGTATATTGTGTTAATATCTTGACTAAGAATAGGAAAGTTTATTGCAAAAATAAGGCACATATCAGACTACAGTAAAAGATTCCATGTATATTTATCCATCAACAGTACCTTTTTTCATTGATTGCTTAAACGATCATGGAGTCCACTCAACAACTAACTATCAAGAGTCTCCGAATTCATGTGAACTGTATTCAAAACAGTTAATGACGTCGAGTCTGTTCAGTAACTCACTCCGCATACGTGCCTATGCCGAAAAGTCGTTGAGAACCATCAATTCATAGTAATTCACGAAGGAGTAAAATACATGAAATAATAGTGACACATACTAGTACTAAGAGATGTTACTCTACGAGGCTCGCTTTTCTACTTTCGTTATTATTGATTTTTCTCATATTTTTATGTTTTCTCTTGGCTCTTCTCTTCTTTGTTCTTGTCGTTATTATTAACGTTTTTCTCTGAACTAGTTTTCATCTTTTATCATTATATAAATAATATTTTTAGTTGTGTATGAAGATTGTTTTATTCTATTTCAAAACAAAATATTATAACGATTAAATTAGTGAAATTTATTTCAACGTCACGAATACCAATTATGATAGGTGGTCTCGTGCATGAATTCTCGTTTTGTGCAACACACAACGTCTCTGAGGTTTATAAAAATTACTCATGGAAGTGTTAAATATGCTAATATTGTCAAAGAAGCACGATGATGATGATGATATGATACGGTTTAATAAATGATGCTTATTTTTATAAAATCACAGCAAAGTATTCAACATTTTCAATCTCGTATGAACTCAATAAAAATTATATCATTTGAAAGAGTAAAAAAAGCTGAAAAAAATATACTGATTTTCTTCACTCTCTCTCTGAATCACCCTTTTTTTCGTTATTTCATTTTCATCGTCCTGTTTGATATGTATATCAGTGTATCAGCTCGTACATATATTATATGTCCTCTCTGGAAAAAAATGGTACCGTATGGAATCTTTTTTGTAACGAAATCGAAACTTTTTTTTAAGATTTTATAAAAACCCAAAATAGGTTCAAAGTGATTGCCAGAGCTCTATGAATATTCTTTGAAGATTTCAAAAGTATCATACGAAATCTCGAAAAGTTTTCGATTTCGTTGCAAAATTCAAAACCTTTTTTAAGTTCCGTAGGGCTCACGAAACTATCTTTGGTTCCGTGTGGTACCTTATTCTTTTTCAGAGTAGTCGATAGTGGAAGGAGAAAAACTTGTCAGACTGCTTGTGACGATGATGATGATATCATTGTTTAATTTAGAAACAACAACTAATTTGAAAAAATCCTTTTGAATAAAAACAAGATACTTATACGGAACCGTATCTGATTATTATTTTAAGAGAAATATGTGTTTCAAAACTGAATATTTGAATCCTAATTCATCGTTCAAAAAAATTTATTGAATCTCTAGTCATTTTATTTTCTTCATTGATTCCAAAAATTCACACTATTCTTCTCTTAATCCTCAGTGTCATTGTTCGATTCGGAATCTTATCGACATAGTAC